AGAGGCCGGGAGGTCTAAAGTCCTTTACGGCTTCACATTCAACAATATAGTGTTCTAGTGAATGCATTAAAGGTTTATCACAGAGTTTACAATCTGAGTATTCTGATAGTGGCTCAGCCTCACTAACCTGCCAGATGTGTCTATAGCCAAGGTGAATTCGCGCAATGACTACATCACATTGCCTGGTCCGGTTACTGTGCTGACCATACAAACACCTATTATTACAAAACTTGTCATAACTTTTAATACAGGTTCACACACACAGTGACAACACTGAAGCCGGTGAAGCCACTGAAGCCGGGGGGAGCCGGTCGGCCGAGCGGACAGCACGCTGGACTTGTGATCCTGTGGTCCCGGGTTCGATCCCGGGCGCCGGCGAGAAACATTGGGCAGAGTTTCTTTCACCCTATGCCCCTGTTACCTAGCAGTAAAATAGGTACCTGGGTGTTAGTCAGCTGTCACGGGCTGCTTCCTGGGGGTGGAGGCCTGGTCGAGGACCGGGCCGCTGGGACACTAAAAGCCCCGAAATCATCAAGATAACATCAAGAAGATAGTCATGATCATTTCATTCCCTTTATACACTGCACATGCACAACCTGTTCTACCAGTGCCTAACTGCACAGAGCCATCAGTAAAGGCATAGGGTTCAGTCGGTTTGAGAATTTGAAGATGACTGTCAGTAGCTTCTAATGTTATACATCTCAAAATGTCGGTGTTATACATTTGTTTTACACTGATGGGAGTATAATGCAGAGAGACCTCCACATCTTTCCAAGGGGGAATATAGTGAACAGTTTTATCAGGGTTAAGAGACACATTCAGTTTCTGAAGATTATAGGCACAACAACTGAGCCACACACTGTAAGGAGCTTTTAGCGGCGGATTGAGGGAACAGTCAGAATTGTTTGGAATGGATCTCAGTGAATAGAGCTGGGGGGACCATTATTTTTCAAAGACTTGGCGCAAAACATAGTACTAAGTAGAACTATTCTTTCGTAAATTGAAGGTAAGTTTAGTTCCTTTCTCATGTTAACAATTCTGACAGTTCTAGGACAACCCAGGATGATGCGCATGGCATCATTCTGTACTACATCTAGGCCTTGTAATTGTTTAGGAGAAAAATTAAGAAGATGCAAGGCATAATAATCAACAACAGATCGTATAAAGGCAATATAAAAACTACGAGCATATTTTATGTTAATGCCAAATCCATTGACAACAAGAGTTTTGAGAGGTTTAAGACGCTCAACTAGTTTCTAGCGCAGGTTGCTGACGAGATTTGTACCATTAACCTCGACTCCAAGATATTTATAAGACTCACAAGTCTCCACAGGCACTCCATTAATAATAATAAATACCTGATCAACCAGGCTGAGTCATACGTCAGGCTGCGAGCAGCCGCGTCCAACAGCCTGGTTGATCAGTCCAGCAACCAGGAGGCCTGGTCGACGACCGGGCCGCGGGGACGCTAAGCCCCCGGAAGCACCTCAAGGTAACCTCAAGGTATAGTATAGTTAGCATGAAGAGAATGGGGAATAAGAACCCTTGTTTTATCAACAGAGATTATGAGGCCACATTCTACTACTTTCTTGGAGAATGCATCAAGTAACACTTGTAGCCGGTCACTGGCTCACAACCCGGCCACAGTCAACCACAGCGGGTGTTGAACACCCACCAGTGTGGAGAGCAGTTTTTTTTTATTATTATTTTTTTAATATTTTCTACCACAAACGTGGCCACACATTTACAACGCTAACCAGCATATATACATTTTCTTCTGTCCTCCATGGACAGGGTTAGAGATGTGTTAAACATATAGTTCAAGGGTTTATTGAACAATCAGCCACAGAAGGTGATTCGGTGCTTTTAAAATGTTAAGCTAACCTACATACGTAGGTTAACATAGATACACAGATTTACGTATGCCCTACATAAAGTGTTCGATGTGTCTTTTACAGTGTCATTAATGTGCATTTACAAAGGTGAAATGTAATTCTGATCAGCTTCCATATGTTCTTTATACACATACATATACACACACACACACACACATATATATGTACACATACATATATACATACATATATACACACACACATGCATTCACATACATTTGTCTCTTTTACTCTGACAGAGTGAGATAGCTGATAGAGAAACTAGTGTGCAATTAAGCACTTAATCACTGAAGGTGATGAAGGTGCTTTTACAAGTTCAGGTTATATAGTTACATCACATACATACATTATATAATTGATACATTACATGGTTAATCTTGGGTACAAGTCCAAGTGGCTGGTATACTCTACAGCCTCATCAATGATGAGTGTGGAGAGCAGTGGCTGGTATACTCTACAGCCTCATCAATGATGAGTGTGGAGAGCAGTGGCTGGTATACACTACAGCCTCATCAATGATGAGTGTGGAGAGCAGTGGCTGGTATACACTACAGCCATCCAGACAGGGACTCTACCCACTGCTCTGGGCAATGTGCCTAAATTGCATTTTACCTTGACTTAATATATGCTTGTCTGTGTTCTGTTTATTATGTACGTGTAATTATATACTTCGAGTGTATTGTATATGGGATGTCCAGCGGTGCTCGGGTGACGGACCACATCACCACTACACACTATCTTCCTCACTGTAACCATCTACACTACACAACCATCCTCATAACTTGCTGTAAGCGTGGTCATGGGGGCTTCGATATGTCTAGTTCTTCTGTCCCCCCCTCACCACCTTCCCTACCCCCCCCCCCTCACCACCTTCCCTAACCCCTACCTTGTGGCTACCTTGTGCAGCTACCGGGGATAAACGGCCCGGCGCGGTCGGAGATAATACAGATAATATAAATAGTATCCAGATAATACACATTGCAAAAAAGAAACAGAGACCCAATTATCCTTAACAGCCGCCCGATGTAATATGCGGAGGTAGGCAGAATACTGGCACTCATGGTCAATAGAACAGGGATACAAATTCACATAAAGGACAGACTGAATAAAGCCAAACCAACTCCAGGAAAACTGAGGAGATTCCGAAGCCCTAGTACAAACATACAGATACACCTATATAAGGCTCTAGTCCGGCCGCATCTAGAGTATCCCCCAGTACCACTACACACCATAAAGAAAACTAACATGCAGAAACTGCAAGCAGTACAAAATAAGGCGCTTAGGAGAGCAGCAAAACACCGTCCACCATATGATCAGACAATCCAGGAGCTCCATGAACTCCTGAACATACAGCCACTAAACATCAGACTGCAGCACCAAGCCATCAGGGTGTGGAACAACATCCAAATGTTAGAGGACCCAATGTTAGAAAGATTACTCCAAGATGAGACGCCCCGCTCCCACAGCTGGTGGCCCAAGATGAGACGCCCCGCTCCCACAGCTGGTGGCCCAAGATTAGACTTGTGAGAGCATGGTCCACTAGGCTGTTGCTTGAAGCGACCCGCAGGCCCACATACCCACCACAGCCCGGTTGGTCGGGTACTCCTTAGAGAAAACAGTCCAGTTTTCTCTTGAAGATGTCCACGGTTGTTCCGGCAATATTTCTTATGGTCGCTGGGAGGGTGTTGAACAGCCGCGGACCAATACATCCAAGCGGACAGCCAGTCTGCTTTTATAACTCGCTGTATTTCCCATTTCTAAACTTTCCCTTAACCTGTGCCTCTCCATCGTCTTTACTTCCCCCCAAAAAAGTCTCCGACCAGGTCTCCCCGTTGGTAGACTGGTCAACCAGGCTGTTGGACGCGGCTGCTCGCAACCTGACATATGAATCACAGCCTGGTTGATCTTTGGAGGTGTTTGTCGAGTTCCCTCTTGAACACTGTAAGCCTCACTACTTTTGCGGCTGAATGGACAGCCCTCGGGGGTTGTAGTCCTAAGGGCCCGGGTTCGATCCCGGCAGGAACAAAAAGGGCAGTTTCTTTCACCCTGATGTCCCTTTTCACCTAGCAGTAAATAAGTACCTGGGAGTTAATTAGCTGCTACAGGCTGCTTCTAGGGATGTGCGCGCGCGCGTTGGAGAGAAATATATGTAGTAATTATAAGAGGAAAAATAGATTGTTAGAAAGGCGGGGTCCAAGAGCTAATAGCTCGATTCTGCAGACACAAATAGTAAATACATACATACATACACTAGGTCCACCCTTTAACCTTCGCCAGGCTGCAACCCTACCTCAGTTTCAACTCCCGGGTACCTATTTACTGCTAAGTGAACAGAAGCAACAGGTGTTGCTAACCCTGTGTCTTTCGCTCGGGTATCGAACCCAGAATATTGGGTTGTGCCGTACAATGTTCTATTGTCACATCTTGCAAAGTCACACCATAATTACAAATTACATATCACCACTCGGTGCGGAAAGATAATAGTTCACCTGAAAATAGTGACGTTACTACCTTAGTCCGACAACTGTTTCTGTGATGATGGTGAAGGTAGGGGGCGGTAGGGAGTACATAGGCCTATTACATAGATTGGATAGTGACAAATGACAAATTATATGAGGGAGGGAATATCAGCGGAAGATTGGATAGTGGAAGGGATCCCAGTTATGTATATTTGATGAAAATTTGATTATTTTATCACAGTCTGGGTAGAGGGTTAAATTATACAGAAACATTATAATGTAAAACATACATTTTATTCCTAAGAATTATCCTCTGGTATTAGTATGTAAGGAAATTTTGCTTCAACTATGCTTGTACTTGTTGTTTGTTTTCGAGGTCACTCAGGATACCCCTCTCCCTACACACAACTAATTATTTGTAAATAGGTTGTAATACCTGCCACGAGCGGCCTTGTACGGCCCAGTAACAAGACATCAACATGTCTTGCACCAACAAAAATTGGAACAATTTTTTTAGCAGAAACGCGAAGATCTTGAAGATCTCCAGAAGAACTCCAGATCTTGCAGACTCCAACATTTTTTGTAATATAATTTTTTAAATATTCCTTTAATGAAGATATAAACTAATAATATAAAAGGGAGTTACCTGTCTTGTAGGGGGAGGTGTAGGGCGAGGAGTGGTAGCTGGTAGTGCCGTTCTTGTGGTAGTGGCTGTGGGTGTGTCTCCGGCTCCTGGTCGACGCCTCCGTGTTTTTAATAAGGTTATCAAATATCATGATCCACTCGTCCTCCTGGGACCACAGAGAGTCCAGATGGTCAATGTAGGCGTCTAACTCTGCCTTGGATTTGATGGGCGTAACGATGGTTGTGGAACTGGTGGAGGTGGAGGTCGCTGTCGTGTTGTCGGAGGCGACAGAGTTGAGCGTAGCATTCGAGCTGATAGTTTCATTGGAAGTTATGGATACATCGGAATTGATGGAAGTAGTGGACGTGTTAGACAAGGATCTCCCGATCCTGGAGACTGGACGGTGCTGGCAGCCCATGGAGGACACACTGATACTGGGGCTGTAGACGGGCTGTTTACCGCAGACCCGAGGGCTCCCGGGCGTGGGGCTGGTGGTAGTGGACGGCCGCGTGTTGTTGACAGGCGTAGGACTGCTGGAGCCCGGGGCGGGGCTGCCTGCCTGGCTCTCTGTGCCACCATTCTCAGCAGAGGAGCTGTGGCCGCTGTCCAGGGAACCCAGAGACTCGACGGAACACTGTGAGGTGAGGGTTACGTCCCCGAGCGACCCGCTTAGATCCATGGAGGTGGCGGGACTTACGGGCGGGGGAGGAGAGCCCGGCAGGAGTCCCGACTCCAGAGGGGTCACTGAGGGCATGTTGCTGCCTCTCAGTGAGTGGCACTAACCGTGGCAGTAGGGGGGGGGGGCCACCACCTTCCTACCTCTCACCCACCACCGCCTCTCTCACATTATTCACTAACACCGCACTTGTTCACTAACTCCTTCACAGCGTTCCTCCAACTTAACGTCAATATTATTGAAAACCTTTAAATCATTATCTAAAATAAAATAAAAAGTTGTAAACAAAACAATAAGATACAAAACAACACGTATACGAATGTAACATTATGGTGTGGGAGGTAGACTAAGCCTGCAGGTGTGGGAGGTAGACTAAGCGTGCAGGTGTGGGAGGTAGACTAAGCGTGCAGGTGTGGGAGGTAGACTAAGCCTGCAGGTGTGGGAGGTAGACTAAGCGTGCAGGTGTGGGAGGTAGACTAAGCCTGCAGGTGTGGGAGGTAGACTAAGCGTGCAGGTGTGGGAAGTAGACTAAGCGTGCAGGTGTGGGAAGTAGACTAAGCGTGCAGGTGTGGGAGGTAGACTAAGCGTGCAGGTGTGGGAAGTAGACTAAGCGTGCAGGTGTGGGAGGTAGACTAAGCGTGCAGGTGTGGGAAGTAGACTAAGCGTGCAGGTGTGGGAGGTAGACTAAGCGTGCAGGTGTGGGAAGTAGACTAAGCGTGCAGGTGTGGGAGGTAGACTAAGCGTGCAGGTGTGGGAGGTAGACTAAGCGTGCAGGTGTGGGAGGTAGACTAAGCGTGCAGGTGTGGGAGGTAGACTAAGCGTGCAGGTGTGGGAGGTAGACTAAGCGTGCAGGTGTGGGTGCAGGTGTGGGAGTAGACTAAGCGTGCAGGTGTGGGAAGTAGACTAAGCGTGCAGGTGTGGGAAGTAGACTAAGCGTGCAGGTGTGGGAAGTAGACTAAGCGTGCAGGTGTGGGAAGTAGACTAAGCGTGCAGGTGTGGGAAGTAGACTAAGCGTGCAGGTGTGGGAAGTAGACTAAGCGTGCAGGTGTGGGAAGTAGACTAAGCGTGCAGGTGTGGGAAGTAGACTAAGCGTGCAGGTGTGGGAGGTAGACTAAGCGTGCAGGTGTGGGAAGTAGACTAAGCGTGCAGGTGTGGGAGGTAGACTAAGCGTGCAGGTGTGGGAAGTAGACTAAGCGTGCAGGTGTGGGAAGTAGACTAAGCGTGCAGGTGTGGGAAGTAGACTAAGCGTGCAGGTGTGGGAGGTAGTAGACTAAGCGTGCAGGTGTGGGAGGTAGACTAAGCGTGCAGGTGTGGGAAGTAGACTAAGCGTGCAGGTGTGGGAGGTAGACTAAGCGTGCAGGTGTGGGAAGTAGACTAAGCGTGCAGGTGTGGGAAGTAGACTAAGCGTGCAGGTGTGGGAAGTAGACTAAGCGTGCAGGTGTGGGAAGTAGACTAAGCGTGCAGGTGTGGGAAGTAGACTAAGCGTGCAGGTGTGGGAAGTAGACTAAGCGTGCAGGTGTGGGAAGTAGACTAAGCGTGCAGGTGTGGGAGGTAGACTAAGCGTGCAGGTGTGGGAGGTAGACTAAGCGTGCAGGTGTGGGAAGTAGACTAAGCGTGCAGGTGTGGGAAGTAGACTAAGCGTGCAGGTGTGGGAAGTAGACTAAGCGTGCAGGTGTGGGAAGTAGACTAAGCGTGCAGGTGTGGGAAGTAGACTAAGCGTGCAGGTGTGGGAAGTAGACTAAGCGTGCAGGTGTGGGAGGTAGACTAAGCGTGCAGGTGTGGGAAGTAGACTAAGCGTGCAGGTGTGGGAAGTAGACTAAGCGTGCAGGTGTGGGAAGTAGACTAAGCGTGCAGGTGTGGGAAGTAGACTAAGCGTGCAGGTGTGGGAAGTAGACTAAGCGTGCAGGTGTGGGAAGTAGACTAAGCGTGCAGGTGTGGGAAGTAGACTAAGCGTGCAGGTGTGGGAAGTAGACTAAGCGTGCAGGTGTGGGAAGTAGACTAAGCGTGCAGGTGTGGGAGGTAGACTAAGCGTGCAGGTGTGGGAGGTAGACTAAGCGTGCAGGTGTGGGAGGTAGACTAAGCGTGCAGGTGTGGGAGGTAGACTAAGCGTGCAGGTGTGGGAAGTAGACTAAGCGTGCAGGTGTGGGAAGTAGACTAAGCGTGCAGGTGTGGGAAGTAGACTAAGCGTGCAGGTGTGGGAAGTAGACTAAGCGTGCAGGTGTGGGAAGTAGACTAAGCGTGCAGGTGTGGGAAGTAGACTAAGCGTGCAGGTGTGGGAAGTAGACTAAGCGTGCAGGTGTGGGAAGTAGACTAAGCGTGCAGGTGTGGGAGGTAGACTAAGCGTGCAGGTGTGGGAGGTAGACTAAGCGTGCAGGTGTGGGAAGTAGACTAAGCGTGCAGGTGTGGGAGGTAGACTAAGCGTGCAGGTGTGGGAAGTAGACTAAGCGTGCAGGTGTGGGAGGTAGACTAAGCGTGCAGGTGTGGGAAGTAGACTAAGCGTGCAGGTGTGGGAGGTAGACTAAGCGTGCAGGTGTGGGAAGTAGACTAAGCGTGCAGGTGTAGGAAGTAGACTAAGCGTGCAGGTGTGGGAGGTAGACTAAGCGTGCAGGTGTGGGAGGTAGACTAAGCGTGCAGGTGTGGGAAGTAGACTAAGCGTGCAGGTGTGGGAAGTAGACTAAGCGTGCAGGTGTGGGAAGTAGACTAAGCGTGCAGGTGTGGGAGGTAGACTAAGCGTGCAGGTGTGGGAGGTAGACTAAGCGTGCAGGTGTGGGAAGTAGACTAAGCGTGCAGGTGTGGGAGGTAGACTAAGCGTGCAGGTGTGGGAAGTAGACTAAGCGTGCAGGTGTGGGAGGTAGACTAAGCGTGCAGGTGTGGGAAGTAGACTAAGCGTGCAGGTGTGGGAGGTAGACTAAGCGTGCAGGTGTGGGAAGTAGACTAAGCGTGCAGGTGTGGGAGGTAGACTAAGCGTGCAGGTGTGGGAAGTAGACTAAGCGTGCAGGTGTGGGAGGTAGACTAAGCGTGCAGGTGTGGGAAGTAGACTAAGCGTGCAGGTGTGGGAAGTAGACTAAGCGTGCAGGTGTGGGAAGTAGACTAAGCGTGCAGGTGTGGGAAGTAGACTAAGCGTGCAGGTGTGGGAGGTAGACTAAGCGTGCAGGTGTGGGAGGTAAACTAAGCGTGCAGGTGTGGGAGGTAGACTAAGCGTGCAGGTGTGGGAAGTAGACTAAGCGTGCAGGTGTGGGAGGTAGACTAAGCGTGCAGGTGTGGGAAGTAGACTAAGCGTGCAGGTGTGGGAAGTAGACTAAGCGTGCAGGTGTGGGAAGTAGACTAAGCGTGCAGGTGTGGGAGGTATACTAAGCGTGCAGGTGTGGGAGGTAGACTAAGCGTGCAGGTGTGGGAGGTAGACTAAGCGTGCAGGTGTGGGAAGTAGACTAAGCGTGCAGGTGTGGGAAGTAGACTAAGCGTGCAGGTGTGGGAAGTAGACTAAGCGTGCAGGTGTGGGAGGTAGACTAAGCGTGCAGGTGTGGGAAGTAGACTAAGCGTGCAGGTGTGGGAGGTAGACTAAGCGTGCAGGTGTGGGAAGTAGACTAAGCGTGCAGGTGTGGGAAGTAGACTAAGCGTGCAGGTGTGGGAAGTAGACTAAGCGTGCAGGTGTGGGAAGTAGACTAAGCGTGCAGGTGTGGGAAGTAGACTAAGCGTGCAGGTGTGGGAAGTAGACTAAGCGTGCAGGTGTGGGAAGTAGACTAAGCGTGCAGGTGTGGGAAGTAGACTAAGCTTGCAGGTGTGGGAAGTAGACTAAGCGTGCAGGTGTGGGAGGTAGACTAAGCGTGCAGGTGTGGGAGGTAGACTAAGCGTGCAGGTGTGGGAGGTAAACTAAGCGTGCAGGTGTGGGAAGAAGACTAAGCGTGCAGGTGTGGGAAGTAGACTAAGCGTGCAGGTGTGGGAAGAAGACTAAGCGTGCAGGTGTGGGAAGTAGACTAAGCGTGCAGGTGTGGGAAGAAGACTAAGCGTGCAGGTGTGGGAAGTAGACTAAGCGTGCAGGTGTGGGAAGTAGACTAAGCGTGCAGGTGTGGGAGGTAGACTAAGCGTGCAGGTGTGGGAGGTAAACTAAGCGTGCAGGTGTGGGAAGTAGACTAAGCGTGCAGGTGTGGGAAGTAGACTAAGCGTGCAGGTGTGGGAGGTAGACTAAGCGTGCAGGTGTGGGAGGTAAACTAAGCGTGCAGGTGTGGGAGGTAGACTAAGCGTGCAGGTGTGGGAAGTAGACTAAGCGTGCAGGTGTGGGGGAGACAAGCAGCTTGTATTACCAAGCAGTGATCACTCAGGTTGTGGGTCCATGCTGTGTATGCCACCAATTAACACTACAGCTTCATATGGGCTCGCTTATCTCTCACCTCTCCACTCCCCTACATACACTACGCTTTATCCGCTCCAAAACAAACTGAGCACAGATACCTTATCACCTACCTAATACCTTATCAGCCACCAGTTGATTAACAGTTGAGAGGCGGGCCCAAAGAGCTAACGCTCAACCCCCGCCAGTACAACTAAGTGAATACCTTCATGTGCGTGTATAGCGACCATAGCTGCACCGTGCACCAAGATATTTTCAGCTAGGCAGTATCAACCAAACCCCCTAGTCCTTACACTACAGAAACTGTGCTGCGACAGTTAGTGAAGATATTACAGTGTTGCGTACTTGAATACCAGAGTAAATAATGTTCAAAATCATATGAAACCATCATTTTACAGCAAGTGGTTATCAATGGTGTGTAAGGAAGACCCATCATAGCTCGCCTACCTGGTGACCAGTTATGGTCGGTCTTGCTTACCCATGAGTGACACCATCCCTGCTCCTGCAGCACTTGCTGTAAACGGCTAATTTAGTATGGTACCCTTGTCTTAGCTGCGTCTCCCTGACCGTCACAGCCGTCGTCTCCAGCTGGTCAAACACGGCCTCTCACTCTCCCGCCGACCTTTTACACAACTTCCTTGAAATAATGACTATACAACCCCGTCCTCTGACTAAGTCCATTCCATACAGCGGCCGACCCCAAAGACGCATTCATTAATTTTAAGATGCTGTCCATTCAAGACAGGAATTTTCTCAAATATAAAATTATTATCATTAGACATTAGCATATTGTGCATATTTAAGTATTGGTTATGTTAGGTGTTTAGGTTCTGTTGGCGATTATTTGTAGTACGTGGGTGAAGTATTTACAGCGTTGTGGTTCGAACAAAATTCGTCGGTGAAGCTTTTTTT